ATCCGTAATTAAACGTTTCATAGTTCAACCTTGAGATAAGAATTTCAGCATATACAACATTTATGATAATCGGATATTTCCACCCATGAGTAGAAATGATTAAAAATACAGTCTGCATTTCATAATAATCCATTAAATCATTGTCAAAAAATAACAAAAATTAAAAAAAAAAACTTTTGAAAAATTACTAGGGCAGTTTTTTTTTATACCTGAACTGAAAGCTCAAGTGATAACGTGTTTTGGTCCGTCAAGCTGTCTGTCCACTGTGTAAACTTTTCACATTTTTATCTTCTTCTCAAGAACCACTGTGCCAATTTCAACCAAACTTGGCACAAAGAATTTATCAAGCGTAAAATGCCCTCTTCCATGGGGAGATAATTATGAATTAGTGAAAAAATAATGGCATTTTTAAAAAAATCTTCTTCTAAAGAACCACTGGGCCAGGAAAGATGAAACTCATGTGTAATCATCCTCAAGTAGTATAGATTCAAGTTTGTTCAAATCATGACCCCCGGGGGTAGGGCGGGGCCACAATGGCCAACCATATTTTTACATATAAAAACATAGGAAAATTCTTTAAAAAATCTTCTTTTCCAGAATAACAAAGCCATGACTGGTCACATTTATATGGAAGCATCCTCAGGTAGTGTAGATTCAATTTTGTTCAAATCATAACTCCCGGGGGTTAGGCAGGGCCACAATGGCCGACCAAAGTTTCACATAGAAATATATAGGAAAATTCTTTAAAAATCTTCTTCTCAAGAATAACAAAGCCATGATTGGTCATATTTATATGGAAGCATCCTCAGGTAGTAAAGATTCAAGTTTGTTCCAATCATGACCCCCGGGGGTTGGGCGGGGCCACAATGGCCGACCAATTTTTTACATAAAATTACATGGGAAAATTCTTTAGAAATCTTTTTTTCAAGAATAACAAAGCCATGACTGGTCACATTTATATGAAAGCATCCTCAAGTAGTGTAGATTCAATTTTGTTCAAATCATGACCCCCGGGGGTTAGGCAGGGCCACAATGGCCGACCAAAGTTTCACATAGAAATATATGGGAAAATTCTTTAAAATTCTTCTTCTCAAGAATAACAAAGCCATGATTGATCATATTTATATAGAAGCATTCTCAGGTAGTGTAGATTCAAGTTTGTGCAAATCATACCTCTCCTTTAAGGAATGGTTGGGACTACTTTTGGGTTTAAACTTTTCAATAATAAACTAATTTCTGCTTTTATGCTAGCCACAGTGCTCAGGTGAGCGATGTGGCCCGTGGGCCTCTTGTTTTTTTTTTAGTATGATACTTTAAATATGTTATATACATGTAAATTAGATTTGAAGCTTTGCAAGATTTGAATTAAAAGATTGCAGTAATTAAACAAAACAATCTTTTTGTTTTGTCATAAAACGTTCCGCATTTTGAAACAATTCTATCAGGTTTTGCGTGTATCCTATCTTGAAAATCATTTATCAGGTATATCGTGTTTTGCGTGTATTGTGCATATCCTGTAAAGAATAACGATGCGGGTACTGTATATACTGGCATGTTTACAATGTAAATCGAAGTATTTATTTGCTATAAAAGGATTCCGTGAAAAGTATGGTTACTCAATATTCTTCGTAGGTTTTCCGGTTATCTTTCATTTTGATGAATCATATCTTATCTCGTTCTTTTGAATTTTCTCATCAATCTGTAAAATTATGTTGAAGTGACGCACTGTTGGGTTAATATGCTACTTCTGAAGAATGACGTCGATGTGACGCACTGATAGTTTAAAAAAGTGTTGCTGAAGTGACGTATTGTTGGGTTAATGTAATATTCCTGTTCTTTAATATAAGTGGTAATATCGCGGAATCGGCTGATGTAGCTCTTTTTGAATAATTAATATCTTTTCTCTATTCGATTTCTATAGCCTCTTTGATTCCGTTCTGAAGAGGATAGGATTGTACAGATAAATTGTAAGGGATCAAACGTTTTGTTTGACTTAGATTACAGGAATTGAAATTGAATATTGATGGACATCTATCGTTTTGAAGTGTATGGCATGTCTGTCGAAAGACATTATCAAAATTCTGGTATAAGAGCATCCACATATGGAATGCTTTATAAACTTTCGTTTATTGTGAAGGTATGTGAGAATCTAGATCTACACCCCTATTATTGTTATCGTGATTTAAATTCAAGACACGTGGTTTAGATTTACCTATTCGAAGGTTATAGGGTAGAACCGGTTTTATGGATAAAATAGGCAGTAGACAGGAAATTGTTAAAGTCTGTTTCTTTTGAAAACATGTCCAGTGAAAAAATGTGTTTCCAGGCCTTTGTGAAAGACTTTCATGATTTTCAACAGAAAAGGAGGGAGGTTAAATAACAATATATCAGATCATAGTTTACGGCAAAAAAGAGCCCACTAGCTACCGATACGCTGGTAAAAAAAGTGTAATCACACTGACAAACCTTTCTTTGCCTTATACTGTAAAACGAGAATATTTGGCGCACTACTAATTTTAGCGCCTTTGGCGCAAGAGCCCCTGAGCGCTAAAATTTATTGTGCGCTAAAGGATTTCTAAATATCTTTTTTTTTTGTGTGTGTTCGAAGCTTTTACAAGTACATGTAAACCGGAACGTGCGATTACGTAATGTCAAAGGTTCAATGGATTTTATAAACACACTAGCACTGTACATGGTAGGATTAATCGAGAGAGTTCTGCCAAATTATAATTTAATTAAACTATTGTTACCCCGGTGTTGTTACCTAATTCTCATCATTAGCGCCTTCAAAGTTTGGCTTCTCGGTGTGTCAATCATCTATCGCCTCGAGGTAAAAAAATGCAATCAAGCATGGCGATTGAGCTTGCAGACAACACCTGATTAGGATTACCGTTTTATCGAAGTAATTTTCTGTCGATGTATGCATTGTTTTGATATGATTTAAATGAGAAAAAAATCCATTTCTTTTAATTGAAAATAGAAATAAAATAAATTTTTATATTGTGCCACGTCCATGTTAGCAACACGTGTAAAGTTAACTAACGAATGTTAACTGATATAGGGGAGTACTAATGTGTTTCCGTGCTTGACTAACAAAAAAGTCAAATACGGGCGTGGATAAAAAAAACAAAATATCATATTTATATATTTTACTGACAAGTGCAAGCGCTAAAATTTATTTGCGCCAATGCATTCCCACATGCGTTTGCGCTAAAATACCTATGCGCCAAATTTTCTCGTTTTACAGTATGGCTATTGTTATCAATGCGCACAGAGGATCTAACCGCAAGCAACTGACCAATTGTAGATAGAATACGTTTTCGCCAAATACATGTTTACATTTTACTTCGAACATGTGGTTCAGGTCAATCTATGATCATGTCAATTGAGTACAAAATAAAACAAAATATGAATAAAATGCAAAGATTAGAAACTATGAAGTATGTCACGGGTGTTTTTATTTTGTCTTTAACTAGAAAAAAATATGTTTAATAAAATGTATACGTAGTTAGTGCCAACTTCAGAACACCAGCGCTTGCTTCAGGGGTAAGGAAAACGAGCAGCTTCTCGTATGCATTTAAATGGACAAAGCTTTTTTTTATATACCTATGCTCGTGATCACGTGTTTTGGCCAAGGAATCCACCTGACAATTGTATTCACGATAGTACAATAAAAGAATTTATCAAGCGTAAAATTCTTGTAGTATTCGCAGTAACACATAATGCTTCATTTCCATTCAGCTGGTTTGTCAGTTAAAATCACAGTGTTGCCTCATTTGCTTATCGGACGCCAAAAAATATAGTCCCGGTTCCCATGCTTAAATACTTGTCCAAAAAGAATTTTTAATTCATGACAGCAGAAAATTGTTTCTTAGAGAATACTTATTATGTTAAATTTGAATGAATTCAAGAGATATCGATTGAAGTACATTTCTGCAGAATGATATTATAGGGTGGTGAAAACTGAAACGCAACATAACTTTTCTGTTTACTATGTCTCCACGTGCCAGACACTTCCTAGCAACATTTCCGTGAATAATTTTTCCTATCTCGCTGTAGTCTCGCTAACTCTCTCCAGAGCCACTGCTAGAACAACTCTGAACTCATCAGCTTTTATAATTTGCAGAACACCGAAAAATAAAAGGTTCCGAACACAAGTAGGGGTGATCTAGGAAAGAAATGTCTCATCCTGCCAAGGCAGGAGAGCCAAGTGGATTACATTCTATGCTTTCCTTTGATTGGTCAGAACAATGCGCGCTAAATCATTGGTTTTTGAGCCGTTGCCTTTAAATATCGACGTAACAATGACACATTAAATCGACGGCGTAAAAAAATACGACGTCACAATGAACGTCTTCAACGGAAGCGTAGCTAAATTCGACGTCACAATGGGCTAAGATTCAGGGCAGATTCGTCCTTAATTCATTGTACTCCACCTGGCCCAAGTGACGCTGAGTGTACGAAGCATTACAGGGACAGTGACTGTGTAACTGTTAGATTCGCATTGCTGTAATTCCAAATAATAAAACAATCGTAAAGATATTTTTTCCGGTTGTGCTTTATATTTTTTTAAGTCCGTTGTTGTCCCCAAGTTTATCGAATATTTATTTGTTTTCCATACATCTTCTCTTCTAGATATAATATTGTAAGGGCGTCATAAGTAGAGGCCATCTTTGTACATAATGTCCGTCGTCTCTTTCGTGCAATATACCTGTCATGAAAAGAGAAAGTATTATTTTCCAAAAAAGTCACTGGGAAATGTTATTTTTCATCAACGGCATTTAACGGTTTTCCCTAATATCCTGATTATATTCCAATAAAATCATGCCATTTTATCTTTAGAATAAATAAGATTTACAGTTTATTTTTTGCATTTGTTTCATTGAATGCTTTATACATGTTGTAACATGGCAGTGTCTATATGCGTAGTGCCATCTAAAATGTAACTAACAAATGTTTAATGATAGCGTCACAGTACGCTAAACAAACACCATCATTGAAATATTTCCGCATTTAAGTAACACAGAGAAGTTTATTCTCCTTCTGAAGTAAACGTTTGCTAAGTGATAAAGGATTCATGGGGAACACATCGTCTTGATTCCCAGAATGACTCTGATTGTGTGGACGTTAGTTTTCTGTGTTCTGATGTACGGAACTGTGACTAAGGCCTGTCCTAGCGTCTGTGACTGTTGGAGGACTGGGCTCTGTAATGGGACATATGTAAGCTGTGATAGTAGAGGGTTAACTGAAGTACCTACCAACATCCCAACAGATACGTGTCAATTGTAAGTAGCTGTAGATGTAGATGGTTTCTTGTGTATTACTTTTGATTTATTTTTGATGTTCAAAGTTCAAAGTGATGTTTATCTATGACAGCCATCAGATTTATTTAACATAATCGTGACATTGTGATTAAAATATGACAAAAAATGTTTTAAAATTACGAAAATATAAGCTTCTAGTAAGTAAAAGTATATAAAGCATAAAATTAGTTTGTATTTGTTAAGGTCTATATTAAGCAATAAAACTAATTTCAAATATTTTATTGGATATTGAGAGAGAATGCATAAATTCTAATATATAAATTAACGAATAAAAAACGAAATCAATAAATAAATCGATAAACTGACGAGCAAGTAAAAGATGTATAAAAAATGATTAATGATTAAAATTTGTCAACGGCATATAAGGTCGCGTTCAATATTTTTCCTGATACACTGATACTGCTAGCCATTTCAGGCTATGAAGTTTGAGAATATAATCTAAAAGCTTGTTTATAAAATTCTGTATAAATGTTACTGGGTACTGAATGGACTAACTCTTAGAAGGATTATAAGATTAGTAATATTACAATGGAATAGAAAACATATAAAAATATCTCATCTTGCTATTTTTGTAAATGCTTCTCGTTATAATAAAACCCGTTTCACATAGAAAGTTAATAAAAAATTATTCTATTTCTATGAAGATTGGTTTTCAATTGTGGGGAATTATACCATTTCCTGAAAGCTCATTTAACTTTACTTATAACAAAAAGTCCAATATTACAAAAAATCCAAATTTGCAAAATCTTAACTGAATTCAATTAACTTAAATATTTTTCAAAGTGATGATTCATTCAGATTTATAGTAAACACCTTAGCACATTTTCAATGCATTGGATTTGTTTCAGAAGGCCATTTTCTAAATGTTCTACAGTTTATGATACAAACCATAATAAAGCTCTATCGTAGTGATTTTAACTGAATTTTATTAATATAAATATTTTTCAAAGTGATGGTTCATTCAGCTTTATAATAAACACCTTAGCAACTTTCCAAAGCCTGTATTTTTTTTAAAGGCCGTTTTTAAAAATTTTCTACTGTTTTTGATACAATCCATAAAAAATTCTTTAATGTAGAATCTTTGTAACCTTAATAATTTAGTAATTATTGAGTAAACGTACTTCTAGTGAACAAAACAAATTATGTAAAGAAAAAATCAACATAAAACTGCACTCTGGAAATATTGCAGCTGGAATTACATACCTAAGAGCAGTAAGCATCTAGTCTTCACTGCTCAGGACCGTTGTCAGCCGTATTTATTGATCAGTAATGACTGGTGTGAGCATTACTTACTTTTCTGTATGATTAAGGTGATATTTAAAAAGAAAATGTTAAATATCCTTGATGGCAATTTTAATTAACTGAACATTTCCCAGGAATCTTAGAGGAAATAAATCACCACGTTGGAAAATAATCTTTTCAACATTTTTATTTGTACTTTTCAGATACTGAAAATTGATTAAGAGTAAAAAATATGTCATCAATAATCGCTGAAGAAACATAGAGATTTGTTCTTCGGATGAAACCGTAAAAAGCAAGGCTTCTTGTTGCAGAAGGTGCTAGCAAGAAAAAATATTTCACTGCTCAATGGTTTGTACTGCTGAGTATAGGTCAAAATCTGCGCACATGCAGCTCTCTACCGGCAAGTGGTGGCATCTCTATATAAGTGAAAAATTCTCGCGTAGGACGTTAAACAACATAAAGACAATTACTTTTCTCATTAACTTTTTTATTTGTTTCAACGGTGTTATAAACGCACAAATTCACAAAACGCCGAAACTCTCAACCCTTCAACCCATTTATCAACAATTCACCTCATTCCAGAGTCTGCACACACACAGAGCAAACCGAGACACAAACTCCGCTGTCAGGCGACGAGGACACACTGCTGCACAAGACTAATTCATCATTATGTTTTCTGAAAACTTTTAAGTTATCAAAAAATAGTCATGAAAAAATAGTCAAATTACGACACATAAAAATATTTTTTTTAATTTTCTTTATCATGCAAATGAAATCCTTTAGGTTTTTGAAAGACTCTTAGATACATCTTATCATATCTCCATACCCAACAGATAATATATTTTGCATTTCCAATCTGTATCCTTAAGGTAGGATTCTTCTCTGGTTTCTGACTAGATGAGATTTTCAATGCTATATTTGCGTAGAGCAAGCGCATTGAAGCGCTGCTTGTGAAGCGAGGTCAATAAACTAACGTGTAAGAACAGAGGAAATTCGAAAACAAATCTATAGATAAGACAAACAATTTTTTGTGTGAAACCTTCCCAGATTTCCTTCCCTACCAGGATTACATGCGATAATGCCGAATAAATAAGAAATACATAAAACATAAAAAGGCTTTCGGTTTGTAGAGAATATTCTATAATGTCTTTCGTCAAAAATTACACTAGGTCTATTGTTTCAACTACGCAGGGGTGTTAAGTAAACATTCATAAAATTCTGACTTCAGAAAGAAGTTGTATCCTGCCATCAAAAGTAAATATAATTTTTATCTCGTATATATTAAGTATTTATACACATATGAAAAATCAAAACAATAAAAAAGGGGGGGGGGGTCAATGCGCTTCTTTTGGCGCTATAGAGCATTTAGTTTTACACTTTTGCAATGTAAAAACATCTTACACATGAAACAATTTTCAAAGTTTTTCCTCCAATATTTTTTGTTCAAATAAAAATGGGAATAAAAACAGTCTTATTTCATCCGAAATAGATACATTAAAATTTGTGACTACGAAGAAATTTTCAAATTCCACCGCATGTTTAATTATTTGACCTTTTTGCACTCAAACATTTTTGTTTCTTTGGTATTGAAAATTTAATAAGAAAAAAAAAAAAAGATTTGAAAGTAATGAGATTTTACTGAAGGATTGAAAATCGTATATATTTAAAAAGAAAAATAAAAGTGTATGTCTGTGATGTGAATTTTTATAGTACTATAATGGTGCAAATTTAAAGCTTAATCTATGACTATTTTTCCTTCACTATAGCTAGCACAATATATATGCTATATTTACAGTGAAATCACGTATTTTCGTGGGGTAAAATTTTCTTGGTTTGAGTAAAAACTCTTGGTTCGTGGGGATTTAAATTCGTGGATGAAGAATTGTTTAGTTATGTATGTAACATTTTACATTTCGTGAGTCTCTTCATACCTCGAAAACAACGAAAATTAACCCCCACGAAAATTTGTGATTTCACAGTATCAAGTACTTGGTATAATAAAAAATTTCATGACAGTTTATTTAATAGATAATTTAGAAACAGTGTAAAACCGTCCACTGCACATAGTAATTCTGTAGACAGGGTGCATGTAAAAAGAGAATCCAAAATTTACACACTTTAAATACTTCGAAAGAAAAAAAATCATTTTCTTCTGGAATACCTTCAGCCACACTATATAGTTCCTTACTTAATGCTATTGGTATGAACTATTATCATTAAGTTTTAAATGAATATAGTCAAATTGGTATGGTAGAATTCAAATTGATTGCAAGAACAAAAACAACAGAAACATTATATGCTCAAAAGCACAGTAGCGAACCTCGTTTACTTAATTAGGGATAACAATATGACGTCGTAGTAGGCAATATCAGTGATATCAGTTTTGGAACACAAATTGTCGTGATATTGATATCTTTAGATGTAATTTAACCGGAAATGAATAGCATCATGTAAACATTTACAAAAATATAATGTATTGGTTTTGCAATGCTGTATCTTTCATTTGGATTAAAATATACGACCGTTGATGTCATAAGTGAACATCAAGTAACTTGGGAACTGTTCATGTTGTGTAGCAAAAAATTTGGCAAAGATGACATTTACGAAGATACGTGAAAGGGGGCGAAGAAAAACATGGTGAATTTTATGTAAAATTCATACAAAGGTAAAGTTTATTAAACAGGTATACTAATTTATTTTCATCAATTATATTTCCTTTCTAAGACAGTCATCTATTTGCATATGCAGGTCGGCCTCTCTTCTGTCAGTCGGGTACTTATCGGGCGAATGTGTGGAATGATCATTATACTGACCGGTGTTACATAGTATTTGGTCCGCCTCGTTTAAAGGTCCGGCCGGACCTAATACGATAATATAATAGGTCAGCCTGGCTCTATAAGAAAAGGCCCGCCCTCGGCCTATTATACAAATTGTATGTGTTCATTCGATATTAATTGAAAAACTATTGTTTTAGAATTAATTGAGGATATAGAATCGTATTAATAGCTACAGTATAGTGTTTCCTCCAAGAGAATGTGGTAAACAAGAAGTAAGAAATTAATACATAAATAAGAAATGTATAAATTTATTGATCGAGTTTCCTGTCGGGAAGATTGGACATGCTTATTTTGTCGTTTAAATACACTGATGACAACATTATCATTTGAAAAATATTAGGAATACAAATGTACATACATTTACCTTCACCGCCTGTTTACTTGCAGATTTATCTGTATGCAATGAACAGATGAAGTTCGTAAGTCCAACACGGATCATTTAGTTACACTCTCCTTCCAATAAACATGATAAAAGACTTCCACTCGCAAAAAAATCACATATTTCAAAATATATTTCTTTGTAGTATTAATAAAAAAATCTGTCATTCTTTACGTTTAATATTGTTGTCAATAACTGGAGGGTCACTGTGACAGGGGCTTATGTCACGGTGTACTACCCTACACCCGTTATATATGTAAAAACAACATGCTTGTGGATTGGGCAGTTGGGGGCTAGCCCATAATTGTCTCGTTTGAGAAAACCTTAAGTACCATATCCTCTGTGTTTTTATAAGTTAACACTGTTTCTTACCTATTCAAAGGCTAATTATTATATCTACTAGATCTTCGCATTTCATTTCCTAAATTTTGCATTGCATTTTCCGATAATTTTTGTTATTATTTCGGAATCCGACATTTTTATTTTCATTATTTATTTTTTTT